CAATACAGATGTTGAAGATCAGTGACTAGAGACAACCTTTGTATTTTTTCCATTGTTCAGCTATTCAGAATTCTTACCTTCATTCTGGAACAACAAATCGGGACGATTCATCCACATGTGGGCATCAACTGGTGATGTGTGCCACCCTTTATAGATTGTTCCATACAAAATGTACGTGATGAGGCCGAAATGAAATATGGAACATAGTAGCATTGGAATACAGTAAAGACAAACTCCAATACAAAACCTGAAAAAGAGCCACCGTCGTGTTTCCTCTCCATTTTCTTACCGGTAGGTGTGCAAAGATTGTTTCAAGACTGGCCTTATCGCGTAACGGGACGCATATCTTGGCCCTGCATATGTTTCAGTGAATCTTAAATCCTCTTTGTCTAACGCATCAATGGCCTTGTGCAAACTCTGATGGAGACTCGTTTCATCTGAAACCACAAGCATCGTGGAGGACAAATCTGCACTCGGGATGGATCACCTTTTTCTCTCAAGGAAGGGTTGACAACAAAAAAGAACTCAATTCTTCTGAGAAAGTGATGAAAACTTGAATCGATCGATTCTCGAACGGCCATATGAACAGTGCGACGGCAGAATTCGCAGATACCAGCACAGATCTGAAATAGAAGAGTTTCTCATTTCCCCAATATTCCATTCCTCGTTTCACTGTATGATTTCATCGGCCATTCGAGTGACGTACTACGAGCATCAATCGGTTGGCCATTCCCCTTGAGCATAAAAGCAACACACCGAAGATGAGGGGTACCGGAAAATTAATAAGCGCGAAAAAAACATCAAAGCGACTGAAGTTGTAATCAAATTTCGTCCAACTCAGATCGGGCGGTGGTAATTCCTCTGTAATCTCCCGACGGCTGCCCGATCGCAATCGAGCTTGAAACCCGACAGGAAACTCTTCCACTGAAAAGTTCGAGACAAGAGTTGGCTGGAGAAGAGCTGCTGGAGGAGAAGAGAACGACACCCGAAACGAAGGCAGTCCGCTTGTGTGCATCAAAAGCAACCCGGTGGCATTGAGCAGGAATACGAACAAGAAAATGAGAGCTACTGCCATCTGCGAGCATCTATATGCTGGTAGCACTGATGCTAATGGAATGTGGTCAGCGGTTGTAAAGACTTCACCATCACGCTCTTCAATCAATGGGACGCGCTGAAATGGCAGACTGAAAACAGAATGAAGCTGAGAGCTCTTCCAACGTTGCTGTAGTCACAATTCATCGTCCTATGTCTCACTTGTAGTGCCTATTGAAGCCCAAGCCGCACCAACCACCCAGATCTCTGTATGCTAGAAGTCGCTGTTGGTCTTCATACGTTTGTCTGACGATCTCCTCGAATGGTAGATGCTTTGACTGCAGAAGACAGCCATGACCCAAGCCATGTATGCAGCGAAGGTCCTGCAATATTATGTGAGGATCCAACTCAGAGGTTCGCTGCTTGGGAATTATTGTCAAATTGGTCTCTTCTTGGCTAGAGCAACAGTTGTAACAACCGTCACAGTCACTCGACATGCAGCATTGTGAAGACGGAAACTACAACAGGAAGACGACGAGCGCAATCAGTAAAACCAACAATTGAAATTCATACCTTGTACGGGTGTGCCATCATCAGACATCAGTTCTAAAAAGTGCAAATGATTACAGTTTTCATATCGCTATCTGTTTGTCATTTCAGAATTAAATGTGGACTTTTTGTCTGGTGTGTTAAGAAATCACGTTACTTACCGCTGACCTGGGGACAGAAAAATTAACTGCCCCAGCACCTTTGGGGACATTAAATTTCCCAGCGCCCAGTTCTTTTCATGTCTGATTATTGTAGTGCATCAGGTCCAAAATTCGAAGGCGTTTGAGTGATAGTGTTGTTTTTACTTCTTCATCTTTCTTTTGCATTGTTTTCCCTGAACAACGACTCTGCTTTCTCGATTTTTACACTCTTCCTTTTTCCTTATGCTTCTCATTCCGCTTCTTGTATTTTTGTCCTTTACTATTTTAGTCGAAGCAGGACAGAGTCCTTTCATTTTTGAGCATGATAAATTTGTCCAAGAAATCAAAACAAATTCACAGTTAGAAGCCATTCTCAGTTATTTAGCTTCATCTCAGCACTCAATTCCCAATGAGTTGGAAAGTTTCAAAGTATCCTCTAATGACGAAGCCTATCTTGTAATGTATTATGCAGAATGGTGTCCACACTGCCACAAGAGTAAGGCGTCTCATATCCTTGCCATTTTCATTCCCTCCTCTTCTGTAGCCGCACCAATATGGAAAAATCTAGCAAATGTAAGCGTTTCTGCCTCCTCCTTCATATGGAACTCCTGTTGTTTCTCAGCTGTTTCATTGCACCCCTGGGGTGCGTCTTTTCGCTTTTGAATGCTCAACGTCGACACAAGATCGCATTGGAATTGATCGTCTCACTCCCTATCAAGCTTGCACGAATCAAACGATTGACGGCTTTCCGACAATGAATGCGTACATGCCAAAGCGGTTAGATCAGGCGAATCGATTCGCGGGGGGGAAGCAGGATTCATCGAAAAGTGAAGAATTTTCTGTGCTTTCTGCATTCAGTGTTGCAGCAGATGAGAAGGAAGAGAAGGTCTATGAATTGACGTACTCCAACGGAAGCGACGATGTTCTTCTGAGAACTAAAATCATGTCGCAACATCGATCGTTAGTCGAACTGCGAGATTGGATTTTAGCTCGCACTCCAATTACTCAAGTTAAAAAATGCACTTTGACAACTGAGCAAGACCTGTTGGGAGTGTCAGGAAAGAGCAACTCAGGATCGCTTGTGTCAAGTGTGGACCGGTGGGATCCCAAAGTTTCAAAAGCGTGTCCAGATACGCGGTTGCATGATTCGCTTAATGGGTTACTGTATCTTCTGAGAAATTGGGCGGTTACGGATATGCAACAGGGATTGACGCCCGAACGCAACAGAGATTTGAAGGAGTTGATTTCCGCGCTGATGCGCCTCTTGCCTGGTCGAAACATTCGAAGCCAACTAAGGGGGTTTTACGAGGCTTTGAACACCAAGGACCAGCTTACATTTGATGAATATTTTCAATTGGTGGACCAATTGGATCTTGGGGGCCTTCAAGCGGCTCCGCTTGGCCAGAATCCAGTCTTGCTCCATTCACCTCGTCTGACGAGCTCCCTATGGCTTCTGTTTCATACAATGAGTGTCTCGCTCTATTCCCAGTCGCGTATAGAACAAACCCAACAAATTTTATCCACTACAAACTACAGCTGCCATCTTCAACCCCCAGCGACAAAAGCAATCTCCCAAGAGAAGCAGCAGCCCCCTAGCGATGATGACCTCACTCCTTGGTCAGTTGCGAAGAGCATCCGAACAACAGTAGCGCGCTTCTTTGCCTGTGAGGTTTGCCGAATCCACTTCACCACTTTCTTCGATTTGTGTTTCGCCAACCTGTGCGACTGGGTAACGGACTCACGGAAGCCTTTTGAGCCGCCAATTCGTACCCTGCAAGGCGAGACCATCGAGGATGGAACGCAGGGGTTGTTGTTGTGGCTGTGGCGGTTCCACAACGGAGTGACGTTTCGTACGGCAGTTGAACGAACCTCCAACACCATTGTATCGCTGGAAGAGGTTGCATCTGGCAAATATTCATATGAGTCGTTGGGTAGGCTCTATTTTTTTTGGGACAAGATGTGAAGATGTGTCTTTTTCAGAATCTGGTCTGGTGAGCTACGCAAATCAAGATGTTCGGTTTCCACCCGTGAGTGTTTGTCCAACATGCCGGCGCGAACTTCCAGTTATGTCTATACACAACAATCGAACGATTTACGAGTTGCCAGAACAGAAGAACATCACCTCTGAAGCGTTTTTTGTATCCCCTTCAATTCTTCGACGAGCTACTGAAGTTGAACGGATGATGAGAGGGATCATTCCCAGCGATGCTGAGCATAGTGCTGCGTTAAATCCTATAGAAGACTCAACTTGGGATCGGATGGAAGATTTTAGCCTTGAAAGAATAAAGGAGTTCTTGCTTGGATATTTATGGAGGAGCGAGTGGCTAGAATCCTCGTCTGATTTGGTTTGGAATGTTGAAAAGGAAGTCTTCGGAATCATCCGACACGAAGAATCCAGTTCAGGAGGTTTTTTCAGAAGTTCGCGCATACCAAAGATCCTTGCAGCAAAATTGGGATCGATTAAGTCCCAACAAATCAATGATTTAGCGGGTCAAAGACCCATCGGAACCGCTGGCGGACTTATTTGGTTCTTTCTCCTCTCAACGCTCCTCGTATTTGTTGCTTATGCTAAAGTGAAGCGTGGAGTCAATTCACTTGGGAGTGAGTTTTTCCGAACTATTGGATTGAGGAAACACTTCAAGGGTTCTTATGTTCAGTCTGATCTCGAATGTGGTTCCGCCTCATCTCGAGCCAGCAGTGATGTCGGGTGGCGAGGTGCTGGAATCAGTAGATATCGATCCCAGATGAAGTAGCCACAAAATTTTTCGATAGATATTATGTTAACTCTACTCTGAAGTACTTGCACGTACAGAAACGTGGGACAGCGTGGTTTAGCAGGATAATTGAACGGAAAAGCTATGAACCGAGAAAGTATTTCTCGTGTTCTGTTCGAAACATTCTAGAAAAGACTGGAAAGCCTCTGATCACCTTTCTCCTTCCGGTGTTGATAACACGCGACCAAAATCGAACTTAATGACTCCATACAAATTATAAACCAATGGGCCACCAAGAAAAATGAAACCATACTGAAACATTAGCAATTGATAGGGATGGGCATGCCCTGACTTACAAAGGGGTTGCCGAACTGCATCAATTCTTCATACCAGTGCTTTGTCAAACCCCAAAGAGTTGTTCTCGGAAGTGGGGGCATAATTGTAGAAGAGTGATTTCACAATAATCAATCTGGAGTTAAAGGACAAGCATTCAAGAAAAGGTACGGAAACAGAGCCAAAGCCACCACAGCAGAACAAAGCGGAAAAGCAAACAGAGAAAAACAGTTCAACTTGGTGTGGGGCTTTCATCTTTGTGGGCCTCGCGATCACGCTCTTGAGCAGCTCTGATGAACACGTCTTCCATGTGTTTGAAGACATCAATCTTGCGGTCCTTGTGATCTTTTTTGAACACCTCAGCTTCATGTTGGAAAATCTTTCCGAGCTCAATCAACCCCTCAGCGCGTTGGCGTCTTATTTCAATAGGCGTGTCAAGATCTTTCAAAACTTTCTTAGCAACCTGTCTGACAGTTGCCTCGATATCCACGACGCAAACATTCAACATTGTCTCCAATATCAGTGGCATCGTCTCCTGTAGGTGCTTCGCACCCTGACGAAAACCATCCACATCCATGAACACCATCAATGTTTCTCTCACCTCCAAATTTGCCTTCTGCTCTTCTTCTGATGTCTGGGGATATTCTTCGCCGTCCTCGTCGCACTGCTTCTCGGCGGCCTCTGGCTCAGCAGAAGTAGAGGCGGTTTCAGCTGTTGGGGAGGTCTGAGCCTTGAATCCTTCCGAGGGCGATCCATCTTTTTTTCCTTTAAAAGATTCGCCCTTTCGATCTTCGCGCTGTCTTACGGCCTTCTCTCTTCTCTGTTCTGCTTTTGCTAATTTGTTTGCGGCGACAGAAGCCTTAACAGCCGATCCTGGCAGAATTAGCAGTGGGTGCATTGAGGGACAAGTATGCGTACCAGCAATTCTCCAAACGTTCCCCAACTCGCGGTTCCTCGCTTGAAATTTTGCATAACGTCCTCCAAGGCCAAGAAACGTATCGAGTTTGCCTGAAAATTCCATCTTCATCATCTTGCAAAGAGTGACTCTAACCTAAAAACTGGCAGGAGTAATTCTCATAAATCCACCCAATGGCATCAACCATCGCGTCACCAAAAGAGTGGCTGCAGAGAGTGCGGGCCTTTTTCGTCATTTCGTCGCGCCACTCCTTCCTTTGCTGCGTGTTGCCGTCAACATAACCTTGCAATCGCTCCCTTAATTTAACAGCAAGCTCAACCTCTCGCTTTCGTTGCTCGAACTCCATAATGTCTTCTGTCTTTTTCTGACAATTCAGAGAAATGCAGAGAATGGCCATAAAACTATAGACTTACTCCCGCTCCTTCCATGCTTTCGAATATTTCAACGAACATTGCCATTTTGAGCTAAAAGAGAAATTGTCCCCTTCATCGCCGAGCAGAGACACACTTACTTTGCCAACGAATGGTTCCAACGCTTCAGATCCGAAGAGCATTGTGAAGAATAACGACGAGTCGATAAGCGACATTTCCTGCGCGGCTTCTTTGCCATGCTTGTCATAATCAGCACGGCGGTTCTCGTCACCCAACACCTGGTAAGCTTCACCCAGGGCTTGAAACCTCTGGTGTGCAGTTTTATCATCTGGGTGTTTATCGGGGTGAGAATCACGAGCCAACTTGTAATACGCCTTGCTAAAAACCAAGAACGATTGAATGAATGTCACTGTGTACCACTCACCGAATTTCACCTTCAGTAGCACCTGGATCGACGCCAAGAATATCATAATATTCTGTATCAACAACTTCACTTGTCGCCGTCGGCCTTGCCTTTTGTTTCCCTGCCGCTTTGAGTTCCTTCTTCTGTTCTTCATATTTGGCTTCCAAATTCTTTACCTCATCCACCTCGGTATCAAGACTATACCAGCAGTTGTCTTTCCACTCCTGCATAGCAATGAAAACTAGAGCCCTTGTGAAATTTTCTTACCCTTTTTTTCTTGTCCCATTTTCTCCCCGCATGACTTTCACGGACGGCCTCAGGGGTGTTAATCGCGCCACGAGCCACCTGTGCGATACCGAATCCAACTCCAGCGACAGGGAGGGCCCACAGCCATCACCACCCCCAGCGGTCAGGCCCTTGAAAAAAACCCCCGACACCCTAGCAGACGAACATCAGACAATCGTGTAAAGAAATTACTAGAATTGTCTTATGAGGCTTACCTCTGTAGCTCCAATTGCAGGAGCGGCAATCAACGCAGCCGCACCAAGTCCCACACCCTTTCCGACGTTCTTCAACCCGCTGCTTAAACCAGCAGCGAAATCGCGGGGGCGACGCGTAGAGAAAGGGTTGGCGTGATCATCACTGTCTGGAAGCTGATATTGTCCTAAGGAGCGATGATGGAGCGACACACAGGGAAACAAAGCTCACCAGTCACATTGGTAGCATCGGGGTCATATAGAACAATTTGATTTTCTGAACAGAGGACAATCAATAGTTGAAACTGAAATTGAGGTCCTACGTTCAGAGTTTCCTTCTGAGGAATCCTAAGAAAGAATAATTAAGTTCTCAAGTGAGTTCTGATAACACCTACCGAACTTTTTTTGCTATTTTGACCTTGTGAAGCCTTAGATTTGAACTTCATGTCTTCTTCGGGTGAGGTCACAGTTTTATTCTGCTCTATTTCTTCTGCAGTTGACACTTCACTGCCCATTCAACTGATGAATTGGATAAGGACAAAAAAAAAAGAATCTGTACCTGTTCTGTCGGCTCACAGGAAAAACATTGACCGAATCATACTCGCTGACGTTTACAACTTTTTGCATGTTCACTGTTGTCTGCTATTTTTTTGGGACTTGGCGTCTTTGACACAGAAGAATCTCCGTCAAGATAAAATCGATAGGACAGGTTTGCATCTTCCCCAGCGTAGTCGGACACCAATTCGAGCGCTTGTACGAATTTTCAATTTCGTAATTTCAGGGTCAAACAAATTTAATTTGTCTGACAAACACTCCATGATTTGTGTCCTGACGCTGTTGATCTCCTTGCCCATTATGCGTGATGCGTATTCAACAAATTCATGAATTTTGACTCCCTCTGTGATCCATAATCGGTTTCCTTGCACCAAATCCTCTTCGTTGTCGTCGGTTGTGATACCCAGGCATTTCGTCAAATTGCCAGGACCCCTGCCAAGCCCATATAGAGCTTTGAGCGCCCGTTTATTCTCCAACTGAGCAACCCCGCTGCTCAGCAAATGGCTCTGAGGCTCTTTACGCCTCTTCTGAATGAACTCAATACCCGCAATGGGACTCCCAGCTCTCAGAAGGATCGCGTGTGGAAGGTCTGCAAAGTCCAGGTTTCCCAAACTCATGCAAAGAACTTACCTTCGACATTTGTCACGATATTTAACATTCTGTGGATCCCGTAACAAATGTAAACATATGAGATCCCACCTCCTCCATACATGGCCTCATTTCGCCGTGTTCGCTTGTTATTGAAGGCGTGAGATGCCCGATCCTCCGGACCAATGTAGGCCTCGACTTCAGTTAAACCGACACACCGTTGTAATTTCGCTGGAATCCCCGATCTCTGGCTCTTCTGTTTCGCGAATTCTTTTTCGGGGTGCATCCAAAACGCCTCTTGCCCCGTCTAGAGCCGCATGGCAATCAGCACTTCCTGTCCTTGTCCAAACCAAACATCCAATAAGATCTCGAGAAATCGCAAGAGGATCCTCACGACGAAAAAACTCAACGGGGAGCCTCGAAGGAGGTTGATCAAGGATAAAGCGTTCGAGAAGCTGAAGGGTGCAGAGAGTGTTTACCATACTGAGCGATGTGGGACAGGATTGCGGGACTGCCGAAGGGGCCGCACAGCGCAAAAAAGTTTTGTTGCATGAGATTGGGGCTTGTGAGGAGTGTGCAATACAAGAAAAATTCAATAGAGCACAAACAACTACATGTCTATGATTTTGGAAAGTTTTTGGACCTTGCTCAGGAGTGCATCTCCCTGGTGGACGAATAAATGCAGGGGTGAAGAAGTGGACATCTTGTTGTCCACGTACCTGTGCTATTGTTTCTGCATATAACTCGCTTGTTGGATTCTTGCGTTCACTCTCGATGATTCCTTGCACACGATTGATTTTGCAGTTCAGCTTCCCATTGGCAATGAAATCAGACACATCGCTGAAATAGCAATCACACAGCTATGTGGAGGTGTAGTTCCCAGTCCTTACGTCTCGATGAACTCTGGCGAGCAATTGAAAGCTTTGGACATGGATTGAATTGTAACAGAACGAAAGGGCTCCAAAAATTGGCGGTACGCTTTCTGTCAAGACAACGAGAATTGAAAAAACGGCAAAGGAAGCTCTTGACTGACGAGACGGATGGCCCGGATGTAGTATCTCATGTGTTTATTCAGGAAAAAGTCTCGTTGGATGCGTTTAGCGATTTCAACTGGAACGTGGAAGATGAGGAAACCTTGCAAGTGGAGACGTACCCAATGATGGCATGAAAACGTCGTATTGACAATAATAATACGAATGAAGGAAATTCATAAGTAGGGGATCTTCAACCAAAACTTGATTCACCTCCGGGCTCCCGATTACTTGTTTTTTAAGAGCTGGTCGTTCTAACGTTAGCTGCGAAACATGTCGAAGGACAGAAAACAAGAAAAGACGTACCATGCTCAACAATACTGTTGAGAAGATAAATGCTTCAAATGTAATGATTTCAGATGCGGTAAAGATCGCTACGCAATCCAACAATAATTTTGTAGCTTCGTCAAATTCTCTATTTTGTGCCAAATAAAAGGCTTCATATATCTTTAACTTGTTACGGCGCTCCCAATCGCCTCCTTTTTCACAATCACTGCAACAGAAAGGAGAAGTTATATTGTAAACCAATGCTGTCGAAGGCGCACGTTTTTGCTTTCTCCAGATTCTTCATTGTTAAGCTGCGCATGCCATAGAGCAATCCTAGCCTCACGAGAGTTAACGTGATGTCCAACTTGCTGCC